GTTTAAAATCTGAAGGCAGAGCCCTGCCTTTGATCATTGAAAGAGCAGAGCAGTCAGACGCTGAGCACTCTTGTCTCTGTGCTTCCCCACCGACTGCCAAGTGGCCTCTTCCTGTCCCAGAAAAGATTGCTGTTCTGGGGGTAGATAGCTGAGCCTGTGGGGCAGGGGGCAGGGCTTCAGGTTCAGGGTCTTAAACCCCAACCTCAAAATGTAGAGGGTGGCGTATGACTTCCAAAGCACTGGCATGGGCCTCCCACGCGGCCCCCACAGTCTGGCTGATGGGGTGTGTGTGACTCATCTCCGTGCCTTCCATCGGGACAGCTGGGCCGGCGCCCACATACCCAGATCTTGAGCTCTTCCCGCCGTTTCCTGCAAGGGTTCACTCAACTGTTAATGAATGAACTGACTGAAGAGGAAAAAGGGAATCAGCCTGGGGATGATGGAAGGACAGCCCTTCCCCTCGGAGACTCTCTGTGCCACCTGCTCCCTCTCCAAAGGAGGAAATGCAAGGACCTGTGCTTTTAGGGGAGACGAAATCTGCCTAGGCTGACACCATCTCCACCCTTCTCCCCTCCCGCCCCCCAGTGCCACCCGTCACCAGGTTCTGCCGATGTCATCACCTAAATCTCTCTCCAACCTTCTCTTGGTATCTCCTGCGCCCCATCTGCCCTGACCCCTGTGGTCTGTTATCCCACACCATGATAGCTTCAGGACGCACTGGAGCCTGTTGCCACCTCCTGTGTAAAGTGATAGAGGCAGAGCCGGTCCCATGGTGGCCCAGCCCTGTGACATTCTGCCCGTCAGCCTCTTCTCGCCCCACTGCCATTCTGTCCCCTCCATGCCAGCCTCCCGTCGCCGGCCTCCTCTCAGTCCTCTATTCCCCAGGCTCTCTTCCTCCCCGGACTTTGCAGTCGCTGTTCCCTTCAGTGGAATTCTGACCCTGTTTCCAGGCGTCAGCTCACACATTGTTCCCCAAGGACGTTTTCCTGCCCTCCCAAGCGTCCCCTCCAAGGCATGTTGCTCGCTATGTCATGGTCGTGATGTTTGTTACCGTCCCACGAGTGATGATCCAGTTAACCCATAAGCGCCACAAGGGCGGGGTTCTGCATCTGCGTTTGCCCATGACCTTGTACAGAGGTCTCAGCGCGTCTCTGATAGATGGAGGGACCCACGGCTCGCTGGGCGCACACTGCCACGCACAGCACAGTTTACTGCTTTTCTTAAAGCTGTCCTCAGCCCCCTTTCAGAGTGTTGGCTGTGTTTGACC